TTTCAAATATTAACTATTTTTTATATGTCTCTTTACTATATTAAGTTGTTAATTATTGTATTTTATAGTACATTTTGAACTTAATTTTTAAAGAATATATGTGATTCCCATGTCCCAATTTATGTGGCATTAATTGATAGATTTGTTCGAGTCGAGCGATTTTTTTTTGTTAATTATTGTAATTTATAGTTTCTTTTTCGTCAATTTCAAATAATATATGTTCTTAATTGATACATTTTTTGGAGCCGACAATTTTTTTTGTTAATTATTGTAATTTATAGTTTCTTTTTCGTCAATTTCAAATAATATATGTTCTTAATTGATACATTTTTTGGAGCCGACAATTTTTTTTGTTAATTATTGTAATTTATAGTTTCTTTTTCGTCAATTTCAAATAATATATGTTCTTAATTGATACATTTTTTGGAGCCGACAATTTTTTTTGTTAATTATTGTAATTTATAGTTTCTTTTTCGTCAATTTCAAACAATATACGTTTATCATATAATCCATTTTATGTGGTACCAATAGAATTTAGAGAGTCAATTATATTTTTTATATAACTTTTAAATATTTAAGCTATTAATTATTGTAATGTATAGTATTACTTATATTATTTTTGAATATATATGTTACCTTTTTAATCCTAATTTATATGGCATTGATAGAATTGAAAGTGTCAAATAATTGTTAATTATTGTAATATAGTATGTAGTACTTTTTATGTAGTTTTTACTATTTTTAAGCATACTAAGTATAGTATTACTTATATTATTTTTAAATATATTTAAATCTACTACTTATATAAAAAAAAATTAGTAGATAAATAAAAGTAGGTGGGCCATGGTGCCACGTGTCGAAAGAAGAGTGAATTTTATTCACTCTTCTTATATAGTAATATACTAGTAAAATTATCCGTGCTTCGCGCGGGAATTTAATATCATGAAATTTATAAAATAATACTTAAAACCTATCAGTCAGTCATTAATAATGTAAAAGATAATGAAAATTATTACATCTTATCATTTATCCTTAATAACATAAGCATAAATTAATGACTTGTAAAAATACATATCAGGATTTGTAACATAAGCAATAGTGTCAGTGAGCCACTCAACAGGAGCAGAGTACACAAATATTTAATTGTGAAGAAGAAGAAGAGGTTCGGAATTTTCATTGTTTTAAAATGAGAGGAAATCCCTCTATTTAGACAACAAAGGGTAGTGTGAACAATTGTTTATTATGCCTTATCGGAAAGGTTACAACTATTTGGAAAAGTTGCAACCCTTTGGAAAGGTCACAACCCTTCATAAAAATCGCAACTCTTCATAAAGTCGCAACTTTTCATAAAAGTCACAACTTTTCATGAAAAGGGAAGGATACTTTTGTAAATAAATAAATTAAAAGGGAATTTTGATTTGTGGTAGCGCCACATAGACGGGCCTAAGGTTCTCTTTTATAGATATACTAGATATAAATATATTAGATGGCTGATGGCCCGTGCTCGAGCACGGGCCCAACATGTTGAGTTTCAATAAATTGTTTTCACGATTACTTTTAGATAGTATAGCTAAAACAGTCAACAACGGGTAGCCACAACCTCGGTGATAACACGGGCATTTCATATACAATGTGTGAACTAAATAATCAGATTCAAAGATTGAAATTGAGAGAAACTCGAAAAATATACATTCGTGAGTAATTGATTTGCTTTGTAATTCAAAGTACCTATGTTTGATTCCTTGCTTGCATGAGATTCCACTTATTCTATGTCAGCAATATCAGGATAATATAATTTTAATTTTATGCCAAAACTATTCTAGTATCAATTTTTTGTAGATTTTATTAGAGATTGTTTAGGAAAGAAGCGGCTGGCTATAGGATGGTCTGTGTTTTTGCTATTTGAATTAGGTGGAGAGATCAGTATCATACAATGAGGCATTTTGATACTGAAGAAGCAACATATCACTTCCCAGAATCACATCACATGTGAATAGGGCTGTCAAATTGAACGGGTTGAGCTTAAATTAGGCAGGTCAAAATGAGCAGACTCAGTGGCCCGCTCAAAGAGTTACTTAGGCCAAAATGGACTAAGCTGAAATGAACTAAACGGGAATCATAACTCAACTCGCTCAAGTTTTACTAAGTTTTAATTTTGTTTTACATAGAAACCCATGACCCTTTCTTGCTCAAACAGATACAACTCACAAGAATTTCCCAAACACATGCTCTATGTTGCTCGGACTTAAAAATTGTCCAAGGTTGCATATCAGAGTATGAGGACACGCAACATAGCGCGCTCACACCCCTTTGGCCTCCTTCCCTTGCTTCCACAAATCAACAGTAAAACCACAAATATCAATCAATGGCTGAGTGTTAAACTATTAACGTTGCTAAGATTTTCACGAGGCTAATCTTGAGATGTCATCCAAGATTAGCTGCCTTTTCGTGTTTCCATTTCTTCGCTATCATCACTTTTTTCAGAATATCACAATCGATAGTTGATATCATGACAAATAGATCAACACTTGAAATGCATTAAACAATGGGTTTCATCTCTCCCTCAGTGAAACAAAACCGTTGCACCTAAAGATTTTAACATCTAATATTCGAAATGTAAAACATAATATAAATGAGCAGTGCACGTACTGATCCACGTCCAACATATTATGCTGCCCACCCATTTGTGCCTGTGCAAACATTTCTGCTAATATTACACAGAAGATTTTTACACAAATTCACGCTCGACATCAAAAGTATTGAGTTCAAATCATCCCGGTACTCTGCAATGTTACATCTGCCCCTCTGTTTAAACAAAACCCCTGCTGTTGGGCAGCCATCTCTGTTTTCAAGGTTACAGAAACCTATTTCTCATATGAGCTAATGAGGTTAGATTCACGATTTTCTAAACATTTTGCATATAACAATGGCTTATGAATCCAGTACATATAAGGGAAAATGACTAACAAAATCCAAAGTACTATGATCTAAAAAAGTCGTTTACATATGCAATGTTTGTAGTTGAAATAACAAATATAAGTAAATCACCTCGAGGAAAATGGACATAGTTAAACTCTTACTAGTTACTATTTGTTATTTCATCGTCTTGATCTGAGCTTTTTTCGCCTGTATTTTTGTTGCATCACTAGTCCGGCCCTCCTCTGATGGAAAAGGAGAAACTAGGCTTTCAACATAGATTTCCACATTCTCAACATAGATTTTCACATTCTCTAGGATATGATCAAAGTTAATAACTTTTGGACTGAACGAGACATCCTTTGAATTGTATATCTTGAATCTTCGTGCAAACGCAACCAAAATTTCACCTTTATTTGACATGAAATAGGGTAGATTACACACATATGGATTATCAACACAATTGATGATAAACATCTTTGTCCAAGATTCTTTAACCCCGTATTCTTTCATAACCCAAATAGATACATACTTTTCCTTGTTATAACAAAAGATAGAAAGATTACTACCCAACATTTGTAGCCGTGGAACCATATCTCCTTCCCCGTAGGAGGGATTCTCTACCTTTCCCCATTTCTCATCAGCCAAATCAAAAGAAATGATGTTCCGATCGCGTTTCATGGGGTTATATTCAAAACCAAAAGGAGTAGTAGCCCAATGAAATTTCCCGTTCACAAACTTACCACAAATATTAGAAGATAACCCACTTGGAGGACAACTATTATCAACACTTGTCCAAGAATTACTCATTAGACTAAATATTTTGACCTCAACTAGAATTAAACCGACATTAAAGAGAATTACTAGTACCTTATAATCATCATGAAACTCGTCATATATAAAACCATACTGATAATGGATAACATCTATTACTCCAGTTTCATAACTAGGCAATTTCATGTACTTTCTAATCGATGAATTCCATAGAAACAAGTCTCTTTTAATGTCGTCGACAAGATAAGTCAAAAAAATCAATCCATTCACCGAACCCAAAATATGATAAAATTCATAAGGTTCTTTAATGGGAATATTCAAGTCAGATGTCTCTATAACAAAATCATAGAGTAAAGATCTAAAAGAACAATCCATAAGATATTGTTCCGGGGCCCAAAAATTCTCACCATAAGCCTATGATGGGTGTTTTCCTTGTTAGTATTCGATAAACTGAAATGAGATTTGATAAATTTAGGACTACATATTAAATCAAACCAGTATTTTGAAACCAACTTGTATTGCAAGAGAGATTTCACAGGAAGCCTTGAGAAGATTTCAGTGATGAGTTTTGATGGAAGGTTAGCGAATGTCGAATTCGAGTCTTGCATTGAAGTTGATGAAAATTGAGAATAATTTGTGAGTTTGGTGCGTGGAATGTGAATTTTTTTTTAGAAGTTCCACTTTTTCATGAGAAGAATATGACTGCAACTGTGGTATTATAAAAGTCTTAAATTTTATATTAGAAAACCTAGTACTTAATTTGGCCCAAATAAACCCGCTGGCCCATCAAATTTCAAAGTTCGTGTGGATATTGACAGCTCTAGATAAAATTATGAAAATGGTCCCTTAAATATACACATTGTTCATATTCAGATTAGATTTGAGAACTTCTGTTTAAATTTTGGATTCGTTCGGATTGGATTGATTTTATTAAAGTTCAATTTCAGATTAATCAGTATGATTATTTTGGATTTCGCATTTTGAGCCTCTAAGTGAATTTCTTCTTCATACAAAGTGTATCAGCTACTCTTTTTTTTTCTTTTTCCGTTTCACTGTTCAGTACAGTAGTTGATAGTTAAGGATTACAATTTACTCTCTTAAGCAAGGATGTTTCCACATAAATATCGTGTATTGTTCTTAGTAGTTCTCAGTCACCAACTTGGTCCCATGGTGGATGCACACAAGCCATCACTTACGTCAAATTTTCAAAATATCACAAAAGATAGCATTATGATTATAGAGTGACAATTAAAATGGCATTAAACAATGTTTTTCATCTTTCCCTCGGTGAAACACATCCATTGCACCTAAATATTTTAACATTTCACATTCGAAATATAGAACAGAATATATATATGAGCAGTAATCGCCTAATCGTACTAATCCACATCCAACATATTATGCTGCGTGGCTGTGCTTCCATTTCTGCGAATATGGGCTGAATGTCAGAGCATTAACCCTCCTAGCAAACATAACTCGATATCTGTCAACGCTCAAAATATCTTTCATGGATGCAGGACTATCCCCAAAAAAAGCCTTAGAGAGGAGCTTCCTTCAGTGGTAGTAAGCTGTCAGCTAGTTTATTCTGTTCTCGGTAGATATGGATCGCCTTTGGAATACTCAGCCTCCTGAGGAAGCACCTGCAATAATCATCCAAAATTAAAGAGTTGTGCATCAATATTAACTTCCAAGGGCTACAAATTATGCAGAAAAGCTATAGTCAATCCAAGTAAGAGAGCAAGTAATTCAGCTTGAAAAACATTGTAATTGAAGTAGAAGATGTAAATCCTAAAATCCATCTACTATTAGTGTGAAACGATTAATTCGAGGGCCAATTGCACATTGTTTGAAACTCAGTGTATAATAGTACCAAAGATTTGTCAGCAGGCGGGTTTAAACATATATATGACCTGTGCCTAACCGTCAACACATCACAAGACGAACTCTTACCGCTATATTAAAACACTGGAGTTTCTGTAGTTGAAATAACAAATATAATTAAATCACTTTGAGGAAAATAGACATAGTGAAACTCTTACTAGTTATTTGTTACTTGATTGTCTTGATCTGAGCTTTTCTTCGTTGTTGCATCACTAGTCTGGTCCTCCGATGGAAAAGGAGAAACTAGGCTTTCAATGTAGATTTCCGCAGCTTCTCGATCATAGTTAATAATTTTTGGACTGAACGAGTTATCTTTTGGATTGTATATCTTGAAACTTCGTGAAAATCCAACCAAAACTTCACCTTTATTTGACATGAAATAGGGTTGTTCATGCACATAGGGCTTATCAAAATAATTGATGGTAAACATCTTTTTCCAAGATTCTTTAACCCCGTACTCATTCATAACCCAAACAGATACATACCTTCTCTTGTTATAACAAAAGACAGAAAGATTACTACCCAACACTTCTAGCCGTGAATCAATATCTCCTTCCTCGAAGGTGGGCTTCTCTGCCTTTCCCCATTTCTCATCAGCCAAATCAAAAGAAACGATGTTCCAACCGTCATTCATGGTCTTATATTCATGACCAGCAGGATTAGTAGCCCAATAAAGTTTCCCGTTCACAAACTTGCCAGAAACATTAAAATATAACCCAGTTGGAGGACAACTATTATCAACACGTCTCCAAGAATTACTCGTTAGACTATATATTTTGACCTCAAGTCGAATCGAACTGACATGTTTGAAATCAAAGAGAATGACTACTACCTTATAATCATCATGAAACTCATCATATATAAAACAATAACTATAATCGGAAGCATATGAACGTCTAGTTTCAAAACTAGGACTAGGCAATTTCCTGTACTTTCTAATCGATGGATTCCATAGAAACAAGTCTTTTTGCTCACCGTCAAAACTATACCATCTATTCACCGAACCCAAAATCAATCCATTCACCGAACCCAAAATATGAAAATTTTCATAAGGGTTTTTGATCATGGGAATATTCAAGTCAGTTGTTTCTGTAACAGAATCGTAAAGTAAAGATCTAAATGAACATTGATTGTACAGAGGCATACTAAGCCTCATCATAAGCCTATGGTGAGTGTTTTCTTTGTTACTAGTCGATAAATTAAGATGGGATTTGATAAATTTAGGGGTAGAAATTAAATCAAGCCAGTATTTTGAAACCGACCTGTATTGCAAGAGGGATTTCACCGGAAGCCTTGACAAGATTTCAATGATGAGTCCTGGTGTAAGACTAGTGAAGTGTTCAGATTCCATGTCTTCCATGGGAGAGAATGACTGTGTACTATGATATTATAATATTTTCTCACTTTATATTAGAAAACCTAGTACTTAATTAGGCCCGAATAAGCCCATTGACCCATCAAATTTCGAAGTCTTTATGGATCGGAATAGTAGTTTGATCTTTAAAATTTGTCAAAAATTCATAATTTTAGTCTTCATCAAATAATTACTTAACTTCATTTGTTAAATTAGACGGTAACTATGTAAAAGAAAAAAGATTGAGTGGAAACTAATATTTAGAGGTAGACGTTTTCGGATTGGATATGAAAAGGTCGATTTGAATTTTTTTGATTTTTGGATTCAAGGAATTAAAATCCATGTACGTTCAGATTGGATTGATTTTATAAGTTTGATTTCAAAATAATTAGTATGATTATTTTGGATGTCGCATTTTGAGCCTCTAAGTGAATTTCTTCTTCGTATAAAGTGTATCAGCTACTCTTATTTCTTTATTTCACTGTTCAGTACAGAGTATATCAAAAAGAGTTATTGCAACAGAGTTTAATCCTAAGATTACTGTAGGTAGGTCGTCAAGGAGGTTTCCACGTAAATATCGTGTGATGTTCTTTACTTACTGTCGTGTAGTCCTATATCCTTTGTTCTTAGTAGTTCTCAGTCAAGGACTTGGTCCATTGATTCGTGGTGGATTCACACAAGCCATCACTTGGCTACAATCACTTACGTTAAATTTTCAGAATAGCACAATAGATAGCATGACGATTATAGAGTGACACTTGAAATGCGTTAAACATTGGTGGCTTTCATCTTTCCCTCGGTGAAACACAACCGTTGCACCTAAAGATTTTAACATGAACAGAATATATATGAGCAGTAATCGTACAAATCCACGTCCAACATATTATGCTGCCAAATATGTATAACGAGTAACCCATTCGTGCTGTCATAGAATTAAGTAGGGCAGAATGTCAGAGTAATAATCCTCCTAACAAACAAAACTTTCACTCCGGTAAAAGATTCTTACACATAAATTCAGTCTCGACATCAAAAGTATTGAGTTCAAATCACTCCGGTACTCTGCAATGTTACATCTGCGCCTCTGTATAAACAAACCCCTGTTGTTGGGCAGCCGTCTCTGTTTTCAAGGTTATAGATTCATGATTTTTTTATTTTTTCTGTTAGTGTGAAACGATTAATCCGAGGGCCAATTGCACATTGTTTGAAACTCGGTGTATAATACCAAGGATTTGTCAACAGGCGGGTTCAAGCATATGACTTGCGCCTAACCCTCAACATATCACAAGCCGAACTCTTACCACTTGATTAAAACACTGGTGTTTCTGAAACAATATGCATATAACAATAGCTTATGAATTCAGTACATATAAGGGAAAACGACTAACAAAATCCAAAAGTAATATGGTTTAAAAATGTCGTTTACATTTGCAATTTCTGTAGTTGAAATAACAAATATAATTAAATGGAAAATGGACATAGTGAAACTCTTACTAGTTACTGTTTTTTACTTGATTGTCTTGATCTAAGCTTTTTTCGCCTGTTGATCTAAACTCATGCACCACATGACAAAATATATCATCAAGTTGTATGTGACCGTATCCTAGTCGATGCTTATGTGGAGTGCTGCTCGGGATGAAAATTGTAAGAAAATAATATTTGATTCTTTTATGAACAAGACAATTTTTGTTCTGTTTTTTTTAAATACAGAGTCTGTGATTTCTCCATATTACAGCCCTCAGACAGAACAAACAATATAAAGTAGGACGATTAATTTTTTATGAAATTGTAAGGTACTAATTTACGAATTTGTAAATTGAGACTTGTATGACTTGTAAGGTGTTGATACAAATGAGTATAGTGTTGCAAGGATATATGCCGATTTACTGGAATGATGTAACGTTGCTTCAACATTACAAGGAACAAGTTGGAGGCGCAAATGAACAAAATGTTGATCAAGATTGGGAAGTTAATGAACAAGGTGTAGGTGGTAATGACATGATGGAGGTGCTAATGAACAAGATATGGAGGCGCTAATGATCAAGATTTAAGCGCTAATGAGAAAAATGTTGTTCGATTGGGTGACGAAATAGATAATAAGTGAGAAATAGGCTTCTTTATTTTTAATGTTCACGATAAATTTAATTTACTGCGCCCAATTATTAATTGTGATTATAACTATTTGTATACAATAAGTTCTCAATTTCTAATCTTTTTATTCTCTTACTCGAAGATTCTAAATGTAATTCTAGTGAGATATTTTTTATCTGTGATCTTAATATTTAAACAATTACAAAATTCAATAATCGTGAATCATCTTAATCCAACACTAGATTTTTTTTACTGATATTTTGGAATATGAAATTTATGAGATTCTTTTGAGTGTGAAGTTCAAGCAACAACTTAAATGCACGCTCATTTTTGGCGAATTTAAAAGGAAAATAAATGATCAAGTTATACTTAATGAAATTTTTTAAATCTATTACCAAAAAAAATGACCATTTTTTGGGAAAAGAATTATATAAAATAGGGATAATACATATATCAGCTACTCTTTTTTTTTCTTTTTCCGTTTCACTGTTCAGTACAGTAGTTGATAGTTAAGGATTACAATTTACTCTCTTAAGCAAGGATGTTTCCACATAAATATCGTGTATTGTTCTTAGTAGTTCTCAGTCACCAACTTGGTCCCATGGTGGAAGCACACAAGCCATCACTTACGTCAAATTTTCAGAATATCACAAAAGATAGCATTATGATTATAGAGTGACAATTAAAATGGCATTAAACAATGTTTTTCATCTGTCCCTCGGTGAAACACATCATCCATTGCACCTAAATATTTTAACATTTCACATTCGAAATATAGAACAGAATATATATATGAGCAGTAATCGCCTAATCGTACTAATCCACATCCAACATATTATGCTGCGTGGCTGTGCTTCCATTTCTGCGAATATGGGCTGAATGTCAGAGCATTAACCCTCCTAGCAAACATAACTCGATATCTGTCAACGCTCAAAATATCTTTCATGGATGCAGGACTATCCCCAAAAAAAGCCTTAGAGAGGAGCTTCCTTCAGTGGTAGTAAGCTGTCAGCTAGTTTATTCTGTTCTCGGTAGATATGGATCACCTTTGGAATACTCAGCTCCGGAGGAAGCACCTGCAATAATCATCCAAAATTAAAGAGTTGTGCATCAATATTAACTTCTAGGAGGCTACAAATTATGCGGAAAAGCTATAGTCAATCCAAGTAAGAGAGCAAGTAATTCAGCTTGAAAACATTGTAATTGAAGTAGAAGATGTAAATCCTAAAATCCATCTACTATTAGTGTGAAACGATTAATTTGAGGGCCAATTGCACATTGTTTGAAACTCAGTGTATAATACCAAAGATTTGTCAGCAGGCGGGTTTAAACATATATATGACCTGTGCCTAACCATCAACACATCACAAGCCGAACTCTTACCACTATATTAAAACACTGGAGTTTATGTAGTTGAAATAACAAATATAATTAAATCACTTTGAGGAAAATGGACATAGTGAAACTCTTACTAGTTATTTGTTACTTGAATGTCTTGATCTGAGCTTTTCTTCGCCTCTATTTTTGTTGCATCACTAGTCTGGTCCTCTGATGGAAAAGGAGAAACTAGGCTTTCAATGTAGATTTCTGCAGCTTCTCGATCATAGTTAATAGTTTTTGGACTGAATGAGTTATCTTTTGGATTGTATATCTTGAAACTTCGTGAAAACCCAACCAAAACTTCACCTTTATTTGACATGAAATAGGATTGTTCATGCACATATGGCATATCAAAATAATTGATGGTAAACATCTTTTTCCAAGATTCTTTAACCCCGTACTCTTTCATAACCCAAACAGATACATACCGTCGCTTGTTATAACAAAAGACAGAAAGATTACTACCCAACACTTCTAGCCGTGAATCAATATCTCCTTCCCCGAAGGTGGGCTTCTCTGCCTTTCCCCATTTCTCATCAGTCAAATCAAAAGAAACGATGTTCTGACTGATTTCCTTGGTATTATATCCAAGACCAGAAGTAAGAGTAGTCCAATGAAGTTTCCCGTTCACAAACTTGCCACAATCATTTAAAAAATAACCACTTGGAGGACAACTATGATCAACACTTCTCCAAGAATTACTCCTTAGACTATATATTTTGATCTCAATTCGATTTGATCTGTTATGTTCAAAGAGAATGACTACTACCTTATAATCATCATGAAGCTCATCATATATAAAACCACAACGATAATAACAGTTAACATTTATTAGTTCAGATTCAAAACTAGGCAATTTCCTGCACTTTCTAATCGATGGATTCCATAGAATTAAGTCTCCTTTCTCACCAGCACGACAAGTTAGACAAATCAATCCATTCACAGAACTCAAAATATGATAAGATTCATAAGGTTCCTTCATGGGAATATTCAAGTAAGATGTTTTTGTAACAGAATCATTAAATAAAGATCTAAGAGAACAAATACGAGTGTACATGTTCTTATTAAACATCACCATAAGCCACTTATGGTGAGTGTTTTCCTTGTTACTAGTCGATAAACTGAGATGAGACTTGATAAATCTAGGGCTAGATATTAAATCAAGCCAATATTTTGAAACCGACCTGTATTGCAAGAGCGATTTCACCGGAAGCCTTAAGAAGATTTCAGTGATGAGTTCTGATGGAAGGTTAGCGAATGTCGAACTCGAGTCTTGCATTGAAGTTGATGGAAATTGAGAATGTTTTGTGAGTTTGGTACGTTGAAGGGAGGGTTCAGATTCCATTTGGGCTGCAATATTATATTTTTAGAGTTTCACTTTTGCATGGGAGAATATATGACTGCGACGACTTTGGTATTATAAAAGTCTCTCTTTATAACCTAGTACCTGTTATCAATAGAATACTCTTTGGGTTTTTAGTTCGGTCCGAATAAGCCCATCAAATTTTAAAGTCCATGTATATATTGATAATTCTAAAATAGTTCATGTATTATGTATGGTATTATAATATTATTTAGTACTATGTTTGATAGGAATTTGAGCCTATGAATATCTAATCAATGGATTAGTTATACACCCTATAAAGTATTATTCAAGAGAAATTTCACCGGAAGCCTTAAGAGGATTTTAATGACGAGTTCTGCTAGCAGAATAGGAATCGTCAACATTGATTCTTTCTGAATTTGATACAAATTGAGAATATTTTGGGAATTTGAGTTTGCAATTTTTTTTTAGTATCATTTTTGCATGAGAGAGAAGAGTTACTTGAAAAAGTAACAAAAGTGTTTTTTTTATATTTATTTTGAGAGTTCCTTACAATATTGAAAAGCCCTAATATTCATTTATTTATTTCTCTGTAATTTATATTTTAATATATTCTATTTATTTACTAGTTACTTTGTTTTCTTTTCTCTAATAGACTACACCTTCTTCTTTTCTAAATTCAATAAACTAAAATAAAAATGATAATTAAAGAACATACTTACTATAGTTACTAGGGGTAATGTGGTAAAATCACAACCCTTCGATAAATCATCCAAATGGTCATTACCTTGGATAAAGTCCAAACGGTCACAACTCATCCAAAAAATCATGATCTTTCAAAAAGTCACATCATTTTTCATTCACACCGGCCTTTTTCAAACCGAACAACTGCTTCTTGATTCAATCAACAAAGTTGGTACAATGAAAAATCCTTTTAAACTGAATACAGTGACCTCCCTGTTCACTATTGCATCCGTTGTTGTGCCTACTAAACTCGAGTTGCATTCGTCGAGGATTATATTAGCCTTGTATGGATTCTCACCCTCTGCTTATTTTTTTCAGAAAACTAGTTATATTCCGAAATCTGTATACTTAATTTTTATGTCTTGTACATCTTGCATGAGCCAAACATTCAGGAAGGTCTTTTTATTGGATAAAGTACCCCTAGAATATGACCGAAATCTCAGAGACACACCTAAACTTAATTAGGGTCCTATTACCCCCTAAACTAATTTAATATGGAATAAATACACCACAAACGCTGACATGGCATAGAGAGTGTGCACACTTTCTTGAAGGAAAGTGATGAGTGCACTGTGTACAATTGGACACATGTCATTTTTTGATTTGGTAACTTTATAATTAGTTAGTACATATTTTTATTGATATTAAAACTTATATATATATATATTATTATTATTATTATTATTATTATTATTTTTGTAAAATATTTATTTTTATTTCTTTTCACTTTTAAACTTTTTTTAATTAATTTATTATCTTTTCACTTTTAATTATTTAAAAAACAATTATGCGTATTTTTTTTAAAAATAATTTAAAAGTGTCCTTTAATTTTAACATTTTAATTTTTTTTATGTTTTATTTGATTTTCTTCACTTATTTTGATATCCATTCAAATTAACTTATTTTAAATACAAGACATTTGGAATTAAATTTGAAATCAAATCAAAACGAAAGACAAAGAAAATAAAAATCAATAGAAAAATAAAAGAGAAAAAACAATGAATGTGTATTAACTTAATTTAAATACAAGCTAAAGAAAATAAGGATATTCTTTTTTTCTAAAAAAATAAAAATTTATTTTTAAAAAAAAATTAACTTTTTATTAAAAAAATATTTAGACACGTAGCGGACGAGTGTGTACAAACACAACCAACTTGGGTGGTTGAAGGTGCTACGTCAACACAAAAGGTGCACAAAAATACGGAAAAAATGAGTTCAGGGGGTAATAGGACCTTAGTTAAGTTTAGGTGTGTCTCTGGATTTCGGTCATAGTCTAGGGGGTACTTATGCCTTATCCCTCTTTTTATTGACGCGTAAGTTCATATACGTTTAGAAATTGAGTTTTACAGATGATTTCTTGTGATTTTACGTATGCAGGTTTAATGTTCATGCATGCACCACATGACGAAATATATCATTAAGTTGTAGGTGACCGTATCCTAGTCGATGCTTATGTGGAGTGCTGCTCGGGATGAAAATTGTAAGAAAATAATATTTGATTCTTTTATGAACAAGACAATTTTTGTTCTGTTTTTTTTAAAATATAGAGTCTGTGATTTCTCTAGATTACAGCCCTCAGACAGAACAAATAATATAAAGTAGGACGATTAATTTTTTATGAAATTGTAAGGTACTAATTTACGAATTTGTAAATTGAGACTTGTATGACTTGTAAGGTGTTGATATAAATGAGTATAGTGTTGCAAGGATATATGCCGATTTATTAGAATGATGTAACGTTGCTTCAACATTACAAGGAACAAGTTGGAGGCGCAAATGAACAAAATGTTGATCAAGATTGGGGAGTTAATGAACAAGGTGTAGGTGCTAATGAATGATCGAGGTTCTAATGAACAAGATATGGAGGCGCTAATGATCAAGATTTAAGCGCTAATGAGAAAAATGTTGTTCGATTGAGTGATGGAATAGATAATATAATTTATGAACCAACAAATGATGAAAATGCATACATACTTTGTTAGTGTGAAATAAAATTTTGTCTAGTGTGAAATAAAATTTTAAAGAGTAAAAAAGCGAACTACTTTCGCTAAAAAAGAAAAAACTAATTTCGCTAAGACTCTACATCTTTGTCCTTTTAATATAACATAGATAGCTAGATATAGATAGTATATTGTGAAGACATTTAATCGCGTTGAATGCCATAATATTGTTCATGCTATTACAACTAATAAGTGAGAAATATGCTTCTTTGTTTTTAATGTTCACGATAAATTTAATTTACTGCGCCCAATTATTAATTGTGATTATAACTATTTGTATACAATAAGTTCTCAATTTCTAATCTTTTTATTCTCATACTCGAAGATTCTAAATGTAATTCTAGTGAAATATTTTTATCTGTGATCTTAATATTTAAACAATTACAAAATTCCATAATCGTGAATCATCTTAATCCAACACTATATTTTTTTTTACTGATATTTTGGAATATGAAATTTATGAGATTCTTTTGAGTGTGAAGTTCAAGCAACAACTTAAATGCATGCTCATTTTTGGCGAATTTAAAAGGAAAATAAATGATCAATTTATACTTAATAATTTTTTTTTAATCTATTACCAAAAAAATGACCATTTTTTGGGAAAAGAATTATATAAAATATCTTTTGGAAATAGTATAATAAAAAAAAAAATTGACTGATTTTTTGGAATGTGAAATTTAAGAGATTCTTTTGAGCAGAATTTCAAGCAACAACATAAATGCACACTCATTTTTAGCAAATTTAAAAGGAAAAAAATTTGATCAAGTGATACTTAATGAACAAGTTTAAATCTATTACCAAAAAGAAACTAATCATTTTTTGGGAAATGAATTATATAAAATATCTTTTGAAGATGGTACAATAAGCAAATATTTTCAGAGCACAGAGAAAAACATCAAAAACCTTGTTGTCTTCTCAAATGGAATTAGAAGCCTCCAATCTACACCAAAAGAGGAGAAAACACACCACCCATACTCCACTTCCGTCTTCTTCAGTTCAAGATTCAAATTTTGAATCTGGTGTTCTGCCAGGAGGGCTCATCACTGAAATTCTCTTAAGGCTTCAGGTGAAACACCTCTTAAAATTCAAGTGTGTTTCAAAATTCTGGCTTGGTTTAATTTGTAGCCCTGAATTTGTCAAGATCCATCTTCGTAGATCTGCTAATGACAAGACCTGCCATAGGCTTATGTTGACGTTTGATTCACCTGAAAAAAATCTTAAGGACTGTTTCGTTAATTCTTTATTTTATGACTATGTTACTAAGACAATTGACGTTGATTATCTTCCAAAAATATTCTATGAATCTATTAAGTTTGTGGGTTCTGTCAATGGGTTGATTTGTGTTGCCATTGAGGAAAAAGATGTGTTTCTCTGGAATCCGTCAATTAGGAAGCTCAAGAAATTGCCTAGTTCTGGAACCGATTCCTTTTACATGTATGGTTTTGGATACGATGAGCTTCATGATGATCATAAGGTAATGGTAATCACCAAAATTGTGGATGATGACAATTCAGGCTATAATGTGGGCAAAATATATAGTCTAAATAGTAATTCTTGGAAACGTTTGGATGATAAACGAAGTGCGATTCAAATTTATAAATCAGGTATGCTTGTGAATGGGAAGCTTCATTGGGCTATTACTAATAAGCTTTCTATTAATTATTATGATTGGGTCATCCTTGTTGTTGACTTGGTTGATGGGAGATGGAAAGAAATAGAGAACCCACGCTACGGAGAAGGAACGTTTTATTCTATTCCGTACCTCGGTGTATTAGAAAATGAACTTTCTATGATTTGTCAATATACCATGAATCAGGTAGATGTATGGGTTATGAATGAGTATGAAGTTAAGGAATCTTGGACAAAAATGTTTAACATTAGCGTTGGGGTGTATTATTTATTTGCTCCGTCCTTTTGCATGTCAAGTGAAGGTGAATTTTTGTGTAAGAACACATCATTTTTCATGATTTACAATCCACATGATGACTCAAAGAGATTTCCAAGAAAGTCCAACTATGATCACCTTGAAGAGGCACAACTCTACATTGATAGCCTTGTTTGGCCCTTTTGAGAAACGTACCAGGAATGCAACAACATCATACGCAGCAAAAGCTTAGATGAAGACGACAATCGTGTGCTAAATAATTAGTAAGAGTTCTCTATACATTTTTCTCAACAAATACTAAATTTTGTTTCTTAATAAAGAAAATAGTGTTTTGTTAACTGTTATGTTCTACAAAACTTTCAGGAAGTGAATGCTGATGTTTGGAACAATGAATCTACTCCTTGTTGATTGCACGGGTTGCAATGAAGAAGGATGGACTTTCTCTGTTTTTACTATTCGTTGTAATGTACTAATGTTATTTCCTTGTGAGTTAAAACAAGATTTACATATGCTCGTTGATTGCATATCACATTTTGTCGGTACCTTTTGAATTTGGTCGAGATAAAATTTATGTCAACTGAATATTTCTATTACAAGGCTCGGAATAGTTATTTAAGAGCTATTCAATGTTCATCTTTTTAGAGCAACTACATAGTTAGAAAATCAATGCTATCTGATTTTTGAAACGAGAAAACTTTTGCTCTTGATTGGTTTTACAAAAATAAATTGTTCATTGTTTTTGTATCGTACTCTCTTTACCTAAACCAATTGTCTCATAATATTAGAAAGTACTATATTTATCGCATTTGCATTGGGCTACTCTATATTGTGCGTTTTCAGAAAAGGATCGTGACTTATTAATACATTCTAGCAGCTATTTATTACTCAAACCTTTCCTCTTTAGCATTCATCTTCAGTTCATGCAACGATTTATTGATATGTTATATATGCAATGACTGGATTTAGTATGTGCACGGGTCATTTTTGTGATGAAACTATTTTATCTCAAGAACGAAATTTGAATTTAAACTATATGTTTTAGATTTATACAATTAAACTTGAATCAATATTAAACGTCCAAATGTCCAAAATAAAAAAAAAGCATATTTTCTAAAAGCCTTTTTATCGTTTTCTTGAATGAACATGCAAAATATTAAACTCGTTGAATGAACTTAAGATCAATTCCAAAGAGGAACAAACAGCTGCTAATGCATTAATAAACTATATTAAGTTCTTGTGTGTGTTACGTACGTGTTCCACATCAAGGATGTTATTTTGAAGCTGAAATTTGTCGAAACCATAAGACATTGGGAACACGATCATTTAAAAGGGGAAAATAGTACCAAATGAACTACGAGCATTTGTTTTATTCGTTTATTCTGTATTGAACAATAAATGTTCTTTGATTATCTAAGAACACAATGATGAAAAAGATGAATCAACGGTAATTTGTCGGAGTGACAGACAAACGGTTTGACTAAGATTATCATAAATATAAGTAGCAAATTGAACACAACTTCTAGTTCAAAAAAGAAAATGTATCTCCTATTTCATATCAACTTCAGCTTGAAACAGTTACTTAAAAGTTATTCAATGTTCATCTTTTTAGAGCAACTACATAGTTAGAAAATCAGTGTCATTTGATATGCTCTAAATTGGAAAACTTTTGTTCACAGTTTTTCATTCAAATAACTTTCATTAATTGTCTTATAATATTGGAAAGTGATTTTTAATATATAAAATCTTGATCATACAACACTTATGCCGAGTTCCCTCTTTTTTCCCCAACTAATTTTTTTTCGTGGAAAACATTAATCAGAAGTTTAAGAAGGACCTGAGCGAAGATTTTCGCGCTTCTTTTTTGTTTTATATTTTCTGGAGGCATAACATCCTCTTGAAGCACTGCTCAATATAAGAGAAAAATTAGAGCATAAAGGAAAATGACTAACAGCATCCCCTGACAATATAATTGCCTTTATAGAATGTGTACTTTACATATGAATTGGTTGTTCTATGTTTCAAATAACAAATAAAATTTATCAATCCCTCTTGTACAAACTATGTTTTCGACATAGATTTGTCTCTCACCCCATCTATATATCAGGGTTAATAACCTTTGAATATCTTAGTGAATCACCCTTTATATTGTATATCATGAAAGTTGATGCAACCACAATAAAAATTTCACCTTAAGTTTCAATATGTAAATATTTTTGCCCGAGATTCTCATACTCGACTTGATCTTCAAGATACTTGATGGAAAATATATTTGCCAATTTTAGCGGGGTTCGTCAATGAATTGGTTAAAATAAGTACCTTTTTATTTATTAAAAAATTGGTTTAAAATAAAAAGGGAAAAACTCAAATTTGTCATCAAACTTTGAGAAAATGCTCATCCGTGTCATCCGTTAAAAGTTTGGCTCATATATGTCATTTTCGTTTGAGAAATAGCTCAAATGAATGGCATAGATGAGCCTTTTTCTCAAAATTCGATGGAATATTTAAGTTTTTTTCCTATTTAATATATCAGAAAATCATCTTTCTTCTTAATTCTAATTTTTTTAACAAAGAAAATAATTTTCTAATATAAATTAACTAATAAAATTTAATTAGTTGAGTGTTTATCTGAAAATCTAAGACACAGATAAAAAGATAAAAAAAAATATACTTTGAAATTAGCCAGTCAATAAACTTCAGTCAAATTCAATTTAATTTTTGTAATTTGTCTCTTTTTAAAACTGCAAAATTCATTTATAGAAAAATACATATGACACTTTTTAGCTTAAGCTAAAGATAACTTTCAATTAAATGTTTTCATACATACCAAAGAATTGAGAAAAAACTCAGATTTTGTTTCAATAATAAAAATTCTGCATTTACTTGTAACTGTTGTTTTATATTACATTTTAAAAAAGGAAAAAAAATAATAAATATCATCTTTATCCTTGTTTGAAGACCATATATAGATACCTCATTGTCTAAATTCCTTTCTTGAAACCTTGTTGCAATTTTCTTTTCAACATTCTCAAAGAAAGAACTTCTCTTTAATTTCCTGAAAATTTTGCAATGGCTAATTTCACAAAGGAAGAAATTGACATTGTTGTGGTTGGAGCTGGACCATCCGGTATAGCTGTTTCAGCCTGTTTAAACAAAGTGGGTATAAACAATGTTGTTTTAGAAAAACAAGATTGTTGTGCTTATTTGTGGAAGAAAAAGACTTATGACAGACTTCATTTGCATCTATCAAAGGACTTTTGTTCATTGCCGTTTATGCCACATGCAAGTTCATCACCTAAATATATGCCGAAAAAAGAATTTATTCAATACTTAGATGAGTATGTTGAGCATTTCAACATCAAGCCAAAATTTCAAACTTGTGTTGAATCGGCCTTTTACAACAATGGGGAAAAGAATGGAATGTCAAATCAAGAAATTTGACTAGCGGAGAAATTGAATTGTATGCTAGTGATTTCTTGATTTTGGCTACTGGAGAAAATAACGAAGGTTATATTCCAAAAATGGTAGGAATAGAAAATTTCAAAGGCAAAATAATCCATTCAAGTGATTATAGATCTGGTGAAAAATATAAGGATAAAAAGGTATTGATCATTGGATCAGGAAATTCTGGGATGGAAATAGCTTTTGATCTTTCAAATTATGAAAGTCACACATCAATTGTTGTTAGAAGTCCAGTAAGTCTCTCTATCTCTTTATGCCTTATCTTTACTTTTATCGTTATTTGTTTGCATGTGAGTAGGTTTGTGTTTGTTATAAAAAAGAATTAAATTGTGGTGTTCGATCAGTTTAGTTGTACATCAACTATTTTACATTGTACCTGTTACTTTTTACTAGCATTTGTATTGTTGTAACTCGATTCATCAAGAGATTGGGTATGGGTTTCTTGACCATCAACCCCAGGTCATACCCTTATGTGAAAGGGCCGAAATATGAACATGATTTTTCATGATTTTCATTCTACTTTATTGACCACCCAGTCATATATACCCTTGTGGTATTTCTTATCTAAAAATAATTTTTGAATTAGTTTCACCTCCAATAATTTCCACCGATTCATCATTTGTGTTAAATTTCACAAACATACTCTCCAAGCACTATACAAAATTGCAAAAACAACCTCGATTCTGAATTCAAAGTTGATTTAATGAAATCAGTTGTTCTTTAAAAAGGAAATATTGGTTGACTAGAAAGTGATTAAGGAATATGGTGTTGGATTATTGTAAATACAAAAATTTGTGATAGATATTTAAATATCCTAAAAACATAGAAAGATCTCATTATTCCATTTCTAAATCGCACAAAATTAGAAATTTTAAATTCAAGTCTCATCGGGTATTTTATATCGCGAGAAAAAGAAAAGTAGGATTTGGAGAGTGAAAAGTTGTTTAGTATAAGTATAAACAACTCATATATTTTTTACTTTGAGGAACTAAATTCGAAGATAAAGAACTAGGGTTTCTATTTCTTGTAAGTAGAATCTTGATTTTTGCTAAGTTTGTCTCGTTAACAATCTTATACATTGTCATTTTCGCATGTTGCACAGATAACATATTATACATTTTAAGATTTTGAATCTCATAATTTTGAAGAAACTTGTCTATAGATATCAGTTAGATGACTTGATAAATGATAGTACAAAAAATTATTTGCACTAACTGTATATGAAACTTAGATTTCTCTTTTAATCTAATCTTTCGTGCATTACTCGTATATATTTCTTTTTTTAGAACCCTTGCTAATTCCAGTTATCAACTTTGATCTATGTTTTTGAATACTACAAGTTATATACAATTACGTTATAATTGATCTGATTTTGTACTTCTTTTTTAATATATCGTCAAAATATGAAACTTACACCCATAAATATGTACATTATAGTTCATGATGTTCTCCCAAAGTGCTATAACTTTTCTATATTTAGATGATGCAAGTTTTTCACATGCACAATCAATTATATATTTGATAAATATGGTTGTTCATTCTAAAAGTTTTAATATATTTTGTCCTAATGTTTTTGCAGATTCATGTTCTAACAAGGGAGATGGTGTATACTGCAATGTTGTTGCTAAAATATTTACCAATATCTTTGGTTGATACTGTAATTGCAAAGTACGCGAATTTTAAGTTTGGAAATTTAGCAGAATTAGGAATACCACAACCAGAAGAAGGCCCATTTTCTATTAAAATATCAAAAGGTAGATCCCCAGTAATTGATGTTGGTGCCATTGACAAGATTAAACTTGGACTGATTAAGGTATGATACTATCTTTATTTTATTTTCATTCTATTATGTGAAAAACAGATCGCTTTAGTTTCTCTGAGGATTTTTGTCTGATAGTAAAAGTACAACATGTGATGTATGGTTAGGCGCACATCACGAGTTCAAATTTGATTACTGTCAAAAACCTAGTAGTAGTATTTAATGAAGAAGAGTAAAAATACATGTTCATTATCATGGGCAACAATTGAACTGTTATAGTTATGAAATCGGTAGAATTTAGTAATTTTGGCAAATACAGTAAATTTGTGTAAATAGTTCATCTAATATGCATTAATAATCTATTATAATAAAGGAACTAACACTTGGTTTTTTTGTGAAATAACTTTTGGTGAATTGTTAATTAGGTACTTCCTGGAATATCGGAAATAAAGGAACATACAGTAATGTTTGACAATGGAGATGAACATCAATTTGATGCAATCATTTTTGCTACTGGATACAAGAATATTGCTACCAAATGGCTAAAGGTACGTTTTGCAAATTATCACTATGTTATTTGTTTTTTTTTTCTAAATTTGAGTCTTGAAACTTTTCACTTGCATGTAAATATTGTGTGCGGATAAGTTTTTCTCGATAAGTTTTCCTGGTTACTAATTTCACTTACTATTAATTTTACCACCATTGTCTCAAATAATGTTCAATTTTTTTCTTTTGTATGCAGGATTATAGCTCAATATTCCGTGAAGATGGAACATTGATAAATTGGAAAGGAGAGAGTGGGCTCTATTGTGCTGGATTTTCAAAAAGAGGGATTGCTGGTATTTCAATGGATGCTATAGCTATTGTCAATGATATTAAGACCGTTAGAGGAGACAAAATTTAGATTTTATTATTATTATTATTATAACAGACTATGTTGTTAAATAAATTTTCTAAACCCTGCGTGAATGCAGGATGCTTTCTGCACCGGACTTCTTGTTACGTTCAGCTAGACCTTGAAAACCTTGTTTCTTTTAGTATGTTTTTTATTGGAATCAAGTTTCTACTGTCATAGAAATTAGATGAAACTTTTCTGATTGATTGTCTTTCTTTGTTGGATTTTTTTATTTTTATAATGATGGTGTGGGGTTCAGGTCGCACACATTTCGACTATTACATCGAACACTTGCTATCTCTTGCCAGCACGAGTATCGAATAACTCTACACATCAAATTGGGTAGCTTTTATTTGAGAAATATATTGACAACATGAATGAAATCTATCTACTATTTGCTCTGGTTTTCATAGTAAAGTAGATCTCGAGAGAGACATATAGAGAGAGAGAGAATTGACTTCTTCAGAATCTGTTTTTCCTTCATTTCCTTAATGTTAGTAAATGTACATTGAGCCGTTAACATTCCATCTTGCTAAGGTCATTGCTAGGTCGATCTGTACAAGATGTCCTAACGGACCAGTACAAAAACAAGAGGATGACGACGGATACATTACCTAGCTCATAAGAAATACTCCCTACGTCCTAGCAAGAATGTAAAAGTTGTTGCAGATGATTCAACTAGATACACGCAACCTACTTAATCCAGAACCAAATGGTTAATTTAGCTTCCTCCCAAACCTCTTGTCTGCATTTTTGAGCACTTTGCCTTAGGTGCATGCTTATTGTTGTGCTTTCTTTTGGGCCAACTTTTTGTGTCTGATTTTCCCAACCATTGAGAAGAAGAAGTTCCTCCCCGGGTTTCATCTGATCTTTTCCTTTTTGTCCAGATAGAGTCTGGTGGTATATTGTCCCCATTTGATTGTCCCCAGTTCGCTGAAGATGCTTTTCCCCAACCTTTGGTAAACCATTTTCCTTTTGACTGTCCACAGCTCACTGAAGTTAATCCTTCCCAACTTTCGGTAGACCATTTTCTTTTTGTCGTGATAGGTTCAGAAGGTATAGCTGAACTGAATTCCTTTCTGGTTTTCTTTACTTTGATTCTGCTTCTTGATATCCCTACAAGGAAGAGTGGTTGTATTTCCATCTTCTATAATGTTCCTTGTCTCAGAACCGTCTTGAAAGGGAGCAGCACGTCCAAACAACTGATATTTTAATGTGGGTATTTCGACAAGGCCATCCATAAAAGCAAAAATGTATTCGCTAGTACGCTGGATACACTTGTATATGCGTATCACTTCTGCTTTCCCAACAGCTCTTGCAGCATTTTGAGACCAATCAGTGAAATCCTCAACCTGTAAAGATCACGATAATCCATTAATACAGCACTTTGAAAGATTACTAAGCACAAAGGACATCAATAAGTGAAAGATAACTACACTGATGCAGCCAACTTTGGAGTCCCATGTTTTAGATAGCCAAGATGCTTCGTAGGTACTTGCACATAATCCTTTGGCCCATAGCTTCTCAACTGACAACAACTGCAATGAAATGAGAACATAATGAGCCAGAAAACTAGATGTTTGCACAGGGTATTACTGTGGAGAACTGCCTTTCAAGTACGTAGGAGTCGACACTGATCCAAAACTGTTTCGGTTCATGAGAAACCTATATGATTGGAATGGATTTCGAAGTCTAATTTTTGGTCAAATAAAAAGATGATGGTCCAAACCAATAACAGCCTGACATTTCTCGTGGTGAGTCGGGAGTGTGCGCGAACTGGTCTTTGACAGCATCAGACTAGCTGTCATGTAATGTGAGACAGTGAGAGCGCTGCTCTGTTAAGCCAGCCAATGAGGGGTGAGTTACCCTATCAACTCCCACTGCTTACTGCCATGTCAAAGTACTATTATTATTTATTTATTAGTGTCGGAATATTAATACTTCATACTATTACCAAGAACCGCTTATTATTAATTATAAACCCAACCCAACGCACTATTTGTGTCAAAGGCTGAAGATTTGATTTGTCCCGATCATCTTATTGCTCCCACTTGGGTTACAAGCTCATGTTACTGAGCTCAGTGATATACAGTGTCTGTTGAGTTCTTATAAAATATATGTATACGTCTTCTGTCACCGGTGTGGGACAAGACGCACTAAGGTTTTAGCATATGCGATGATATGCCTAGCAAGCAAATGCTTTTTCTATATATGCTCATTTCCAAAGTGAGTTGAATAAATACATTAATTTTCTAACTTCTCTGTTATTGTAAAACGAGGACAAACAGCTCGAAAACTAGAACCTTATATATAGGAATTTTGTCAGCTTAGAGAAAAATTCTCAAACAAAGCACCACAAGTATACTACTGAATAATCATTCTTCAAGTTTCTTCCCTTTAAAGCATGTATCAACTGGAAACATATCAAGCACTAACAATGTCACATTTATGAAAGAAATTTACGCATAGGAGAAGCTTGTTCAACCTTTTGTCTCAAGATACAACATACAACAGATATTCAATAGAATAACGCCACTGGCCACAGTCAATCTTGATGCCTGACCAAAAAAAGATGTAATTGATTACCGAAGGTGATTTCCAGCATCATCTGTGAAGCACAAGCTCCTATCCCTTTCCAGCTGCTAAGAGACATAGATGAGGAGATCTAGTCATGTCTCCTTACCTGTTTTCTATTGTCATGGAGTACCTAAGTAGGTGTCTAAATGGACTTAAGCAAGAAAAAAGAGCTTCAAATTCCATCCGAGATGTACTAAGCTGGGAATTACTCACCTCAGGTTTGCAAGAGGTAATTCGCCTTCTGCTACTCATATCCAACACTGTTTTAACATGTATTATATGACATCTGGATTAAAGGCTAACAAACAGAAAAGTTCAGTATACTTTGGAGGGGTACCTCAGGCAAAAAGCTGGTGGTTTCGGAGTAACGAACTGAAAAGTTCAAAATGACAGTCTCCTTCGTAAATGGTTATGGAGATAGATATTCACAAAGGAGGATCAAGATCTACAGAGTAAAGTCATAGAAACCAAGTTTGGGATTCTGAATCAGTGGATAACAAAATCTGGAAATTCACTACAAGCTGAACAAATCAAGCACTAACATTGTCATATATATAAAAGAAATTTACCAAGAAAATCTCAAGATATAGCATACCACAGATATTCAAAGGAAGGAGAAGACTGTTCAACCGTTTGTCACAACAATTACATACAACAGATATTCAAGGGAAGGAGAAGCATTTTTCAACTTTTATCACAGTAACAACATACGTAATATTACATCTAGCTAACATGGAGAATAGGGAATCATTGTCTTGATTCGTGCAGTTGGCAGAGGATGGATAAATTGTTCTCTAACATCAGCTTTTCACCTCCTGAAATAGCAAAAGTACATCACAGTTAATAAAGCACCTTCGTGATATTTCACATGACAACTAAAAACAGTTTATATGCAAACAACAATGAAAACCAGCAAAAACAAATAGTACCCAAGTTGCTCGCACTGGGGTGCAAGTGCTCGATAAGGATGAAGATCTAGAAGTCGGATCCTTCCTGATTTTTGCAGATCGAACAACAACGGTGTGTGTTATCTTTGCTATCAAATAATGGCATGGATGAGCCTTTTCTCAAATGGAAATGGCACAGACACTACAACAAAAATGATCCTTAGTGGCAACTAATTAACGGCAATAGCTTAATTGCCACTAAAGATGTATTTTTATAGCTAATCAGCACTCTTTGTATATGTCCCTAAAGTCTTTAGCAACATTGGATTTAATGACACTAAACTAATGTCTGTAAAGACTTTAGCACTCTTTATTAATGTGTGTATATTTATTGTTGCTAAAATTTATTTTTGTTGTAGTGAGATGAGCCAAACTTTTAACAGATTGCATAAATGAGCCTTTTCTCAAAGTTCGATGACATATTTGAGCCCTTTCTCGTATATTTATTGGTTTGTATATGACAAGTTGATATTTTGCCATCTTATCTCTTCTTTAATTTTAAATGATTTCCATGTTTAATTGAGAAAACAATGCATCTAATATCGTTTACTGTCAATATACATGTTAATGTGATGGGGAAGAAATCAAGTGAAAAAGAAGGCAAAAAGGAGCTAAAATGGAAGAAGTTGAAAACTGGCAGAAAATGGTCTTTGTGATCATGGAAGTCAACCAGATCAACTCTTCTTCGCAATCGTGAAGCATCTGCCGCGATCACGGGTCATACAAAGTCAACATATCGCGATTGCAAAGCCTTTAGGACAAACAGCTCTAATACTAGCTAGTTGGCTTATATAAAGGAACTTTGCCAGCTTAGAGAAAAATTGTCAAACAAAGGCACCAGAAATTTACCAACAAGTATACTACTGAATGATCATTTTTGAAGTTTCTTCCCTTTTATGCTCGAAACTCATTACAAGCTGAAAAAATCAAGCACTAACATTTTCATATATATATATATATGAAGGTATTTTACGCGTAGGAGAAGCATGTTCAACCTTTTGTCGCGACAATTTCAAGATACTACATACAAATCTGTTTTAACATTTCTATATGGCTTCTGGATTAAAGGCTAACTTAAGGAAATATTGAACTTACTGTGGAGAACTGCCTTTCAAGTACGTAGGAGTCGACTTTGATCTAAAACTGTTTCGGTTCATGAGAAACCTTTATGATTGGAATGGCTTTCGAAGTCTAATTTTTGGTCAAATAAAAAGATGATGGTCCAAACCGATAACAGCCTGACATTTCTAGTGGTGAGTCGGGAGTGTGCGCGAACTGGTCTTTGACAGCATCAGACTAGCTGTCATGTAATGTGAGACAGTGAGAGCGCTGCTCTGTTAAGCCAGCCAATGAGGGGGGCGAGTTACCCCATCAACTCCCACAGCTTACTGCCATGTCAAAGTACTATTATTATTTATTTATTAGTGTCAGAATAACAATACTTCATACTATTACCAAGAACCGCTTATTATTATAAACCCAAACCAATGCACTATTTGTGTCAAGGGCTGAAGATTTGGTTTGTCCCGATCATCTTATTGCTCCCACTTGGGTCACAAGCTCACGCTACTAAGCTCAGCGATATACAGTGTCTGTTGAGGTTTTATAAAATATATGTATACGTCTTCTGCCACCGGTGTGGGACAAGACGCAAGGTTTTAGCATATGCGATGATATGCCTAGCAAGCAAATGATTTTTCCATATATGCTCATCTCTAAAGTGAGTTGAATAAATACATTAATTTTCTAACTTTTTCTATTATTGTAAAACGAGGACAAACAGCTCGAAAACTAGAACCTTATATATAGGGATTTTGTCAGCTTAGAGAAAAAGTGGTGGTTTCGGAGTAACAAACTTAAAGTTCAAAATGAAAGGCTCCTCGTACATGGTTATGGAGATTGAGATTCACAAGAGCGCTAGGGAGAAAAGTCATATAAACCAAGTTCGGGATTCTCAATCAGTGGATAACAAAGTCCCCATCTAACTCTTGTGGATTCTCAGTACAGAAAACAATCAGGTCACATTGAGAGAGTTTTCTGTTGAGAGACGAAAGAAAGATAAGCTTTTGGCATGATTCTTATCCACCTCTCAAACAATTCCCAAAACTCTTTTGTTTTACTATCAGGTAGCTCTTGTTACCCCAATCATGGGTGGAATTTTAGATTTCCGAATGAATAGTACTAATTGGTAATGGAGCTGAGTCTTCATATTGGTACAAGAGATAGGATCCCTGTCCATTTGTCCTAAAAAAGAGGACATAAAAAACTTATCCCTTTTAAGCATGTACACTGGAAATTCATTACAAGCTGAACAAATCAAGCACTAACATCATATATATAAAAGAAATTCATCGCGATAATCTCAAGATACAGCATACAACAGATCTTCAAAGGAAGGAGAAACTTGTTCAACCCTTTGATACAACAATCTCAAGATACTACATATAACAGATATTCAAGGGAAGGAGAAGCTTTTTTCAACTTTTATCTCAGCGACAACATAGGTGATACTAAATTCAGCAAACATGAAGAATAGGGAAGCATCATCTTGATTCGTGCGGATCGGCAGAGGATGGAATAATTGCTCTTCAACATCAGCTTTCCACCTCCTGAAATATCAAAAGTACATAACAGTTAACAAGCACCTGAGTGATAATTTCACATGATGACTAATAAAAACTGTTTATATGTGAGCAACAAGGAAAATCAACAAAACCAA